AAGCTGTACTTACCAGAACTCATCTCTGAGAGAGGGTGGCTTATGTTGGAAGGGATAGTTTGAAAAAGTTGCCTGACACCCCCACCTCATCCTTCCCACTAAAGAGCAAAATTAAGTCACAAAGAATGATGTTAATATATACATATTTTTCTTTACTGATTTCTTTTAGAGAGAGAAGACGGGAGAGGGAGAAAGAGAGAGAGAGAGAAACATCGATGAGAGAGAACATTGATTGGCCACCTCCTGCATGCCCCCTCTCTGGGTATCTGGGCATGTGCCCTGAACGGAATCAAACCGGTGACCTCTTGGTGCATGGGTCAACGCTCAAAAACCGAGCCACACGGGCCGGGTTTTATATAGTTCTTAGAATAAACTGCCTAGCCCTGGAACAAAAGAACCCAGAGATATTCTAGTGCTATCATTCAATTAGCCCTGTGATCTTGCATATGTTATTTGACCCCTCTGAGACACTTTCTTTATCTCTATAATTGGCATGACAAACCTAATTGAACATTTAAATGAGATAGTTTTATTATTATTATTACTTTTAAATATTTATTGTTGAGAGTATTACAGATGCCCCCTCCTTTTTCTTCCATGCCCCCACCACCCAGTTCCCACCCTGCCCCAGGTCTTCACCACCCTATAGTCTGTGTCCATGGGCTACGCATATAAATTCTTTGGTTAATCTCTTCCCTCCCCACCCCCCCTTTTCTCTCTGAGACTCATCAGTCTGCTCCATGTTTCCATGCTTCTGGTTCTATTTTATTTATCACTTTATTGTGTTCATTAGATTCCACATATAAGTGATATCGCGGGATATTTGTCTTTTTCTGACTGGCTCATTTTGCTTAGCATAATAATCTCCAAGTCACTCTGTTGTCTCAAAGGGTAATAGATCCTTCTTTTTTACAGCTGCATAGTATTCCATAGTGTAAATGAACCACAGCTTTTTTATCCACTCACCTACTGATGGGCATTTGGGCTGTTTCCAGATCTTAGCTATTGTAAATAGTGCTGCCGTGAACACAGGGGAACAGAGACAGTGTTATTAAAAATACTATTAGAGTGCCTGACACACAAGTACTCAATAAATATTACTGAATTAATGAATAATTGATAAATTATAAATGTTAATGTTACTATGTTATCATTTACAAAGCTTTATATGAAACCTTTATGACAGTGATAAAACATGACAGACATCTATTGGCCTTGAGAGCAGTGTATATGTGTACAATTTACAGTCAATACATAAATTTATATTCACATTTTTACAAAAAATATACAAAAAATATTCATTTTTTTTCCAAGATAAAAGAATAGCGGTAATGAAAGGATATTCAAGGATTCTTAACATAATCATGAATCCATATATAAATTCATATATGGAACACAAATGTAGTGTGGAAACATATCATGTACAAACCCATATTGATTTTGCAAACTGAAATCTCACAAGATCCCACTGGGAGTCTCCTTTGATGATTAACAACTTTTAATTGACAATTAAACTCTTTATGGACACACTGTCATCTTCAGTTACTTGTAAACACACAAAGATGTATTTACATAATGCCAAACTTGTATATATATATCACACAGGCAACACAAATATATATAATCCACATTGCAATTGATATATTAAATTTGGGGGGAAAGTTATTTTAAATAACTTTACGTAAATTATACGTAGGAGTAATTGTGTTTAGACTATGTAGAAATACAGAAGCAAAAGGAATAGTTAGGAAATGTCCAGAGTAGTCCAGTTGACTGACATTATCTATCACGGGAAAACAACAACAAAAATTTTGCAATAGGAAGTGGCTATTTCTGTTATTCAAACCAACACTATTCTCTGATCAGCTACCCAGTGCATTTGTGTTAGCAGTTGCTAGAAAATGGATTATGCATGGCAAACTAGAAGAGCCCTGGACTTGCAAAACTCGCAATGTGGCCTTAATTAAAATAGTCAAGTTACTTTTCTCTAGTCTCAGTTTCTCATATGTAAAATGGCTATAAAAATTCCACCTTGCTGCCCTGGGCGTTGTGGCTCAATGCTTAAAGCGTCTGCCTGCACAGGAAGAGTCTCAGGTTCCTGCTCAAGGGCACACACCTGGCTTGCAGGTTCAGTCCCCAGCCCTGATTGGGGCATGTGCAGGAGGCAACAAATTGATGTGTTTCTCTCTCTCTTTCTCCCTCCCTTCCTTCCACTCTATCTAAAAATCAATGGAAAAATATCCTTGGGGGAGGATTAACAACAACAACAACAAAATTCCACCCTGCTTATTTCATGAGGATGATCTGATCAATTCCCTCATTTCGCCATGAGGAAACTGAGTAGTTAAGTGACTCTCTTAAGGTCACATAGCTAATCAGTGACACAATCACAACTAGAAATAAAAGTCTTTTGAAGAGTTGGACTTTCTGCAGTAACAAAGCTGCCATTGAAGCAATAGATAGGAAATTGCTTTAAAAAATGTAACATAAGGGTTTCGTTCAGTGTAAGTACTATGGAGTATATCTACTAAACTAAATCAAGATCATCGTGTGGCAATTAAGAAATGTCTTTTGAGACTGTACCTTACATTCAGCAATAGCCATCTTTCTTTAAAAACCAAATGGAATCTGTTTCGTTTCTCAACAAAGACACAAGGAGTAAACAGTTAATTCAGACGTGAAGTGGATTTTCAAGGACTTGCCCAAGCTAGTTTTCTACAAAGTCTAAATTAATCAGATAATTGCTTATTCTTCCTTTTGTTTTATGCTAAGTAGAGTCTGCATTTGTTGACATAAACTTAGTAACAAGAATAAACAATTATTTTTTAAAATTTTAGATACCAAATCTGAACTAAATGATCGAGTTTCAACACACACTATTTCTTTAGGCATCTTCTCCAGTCATTAATTTAAAAGCTTAATTTTCTTTATGTGAATGTGAACATTAATACTGCTTTTATGATATAAAGAGAACTTTTTAAGCAAAAATTTTTAAATTTTAAAAAATCAACTGAAATGGATAACCCAGGATATTGTGAACATGCTTTGTTATACTTTCAGTAAAACAAAAACTTAAATGCCTCTCCTAGCATGACTATAAACAACAGTTTAATCTTTTAGATTCGATTCTTACTGACACATTGAAAAAAATATAGTCAGTTTAGTATAGTTTAACATAATCTCCACTTGCCCTGGCCAGTTTGGCTCAGTGGTTAGAGAATTGGCCATGGACTGAAGGGTCAAAGGTTTGATTCTGGGTCAAGGGTATGTACATGGGTTGCAGGTTCAATCCTCAGTCCTGGTAGGAGTTGTGTGGGAGACAGCCAGTTGATGAGTCTTTCTCACATCCATGTTTCTCTCTCTCTCTAACCCTCCATTCCTTCCATTCTATCTAAAAATCAATGGAAAAATATCCTCGGGTGAGGATTAACAACAAAAAATAATAATAATAATCTCCACTTAACAGCTATCAAAGTTTTTAAATTAAGCAAACAGTGCTAATTACCCTCCTAATATCAGGAGGAAAGTTTAGAAAGTAATTTAATTAATTGGCTCTGAAAAATTAATTACATATGTAATGAGCCTCATTAGACCTTATGTGCCCTGACCGGGTAGCTAAGTTGGTTAGAACATCCCAAAATGCCAAGGTTGCAGGTTCGAGCCCTAGTCAGGACACACTTATTTAACAAATGAATGCATAAATAAGTGGAACAAGTCAATGTTTCTCTCTCTTTCTCTCTCTCTCTCTCTCTCTATCTCTCTCCCCCTTCTCCCTCCATCTAAAACCAATGTCTCTCTCTCTCTCTCTCAAATCAATAAATAGATAAAAAAGAAAGAAAGAATAGACCTTTCCTGTTTCATCAGAATTTCAGACTAAAGGATGATTGGTCTTCTCACTTACAATTTCTTTGTGGTTCACGGAACATAAAATAAACTGTTGGTTGTGATGAGAATTAAATATTTTACCCATGTATGTTTAGGACTAGAACATTAAAATAAACTGACCTGAACATGGGACTCTTACTTTTTCACTGTATTAAGTTCTTGCATCCCAATGTAAAGATTTTACTGTGTGTGTGTGTGTGTGTGTGTGTGTGTGTGTGTGTGTGTGTGTGTGGTTACTGAATTGACAAAACAAAACAAACAAAAAAACATCCAGAACAATTAACTTTTAAATTTAGCACAGCAATATATTTGGGTTTTACCATGTTGAGTGAAAATGTAAGTAAAAACTCTGTCATATAATAACTGTTGATTACTCAGATAGTTTTCATAAACAGTTGGCCAACTGTAACTTACAACAGCTGTCACTATACATTTAAAGTAAATGTTAATTTAGGAATATTAAACTTGTAAACGTTTGTGCAAATAAGGCTTGTGTTGTTTTCAACGTTTACAGAATATCACTAGAGGATTATTAAACCAAACTTACCCCATTTTACCCTCCCTGTTTTAAAATTCTTCAGTTTTACATATAAAAAGCTGTAACCATACTTGAATGCCTTTTCAATGACTCCCTTGAGGATACAAACTGCACAGAGAAATGTATTTGCTAGGTTTACATCTTGGAGGTAAGAGAATAAATAAACTACCAAAACAATGTTGCCAGAGATGTGCTGTACTCTTTCATATAAGAAAACATTGGCATCAAGTAAAATCTCACTGCCTGTTGACTAAAAAAAGTAAGCTGTAAATACCTAGAGCAATTATAGCTCACAGACCTCAGGCTCTGGAGCCTGGGTTGTGTGCTAAAGTTAGCCCTCTTCTTTTCTGTCCTGTTTGAAGAACTCACTTCTAAGTAAAATTGGCATGACAGATTGCAGACCTTTTTGTACAAACTACTAACATGGCATCCAGTATCATATTTACCCCCATACAGATCTAGAGCACGCTGTAGCAGTCAAATACAGAAATGCTTGCTTTTCCTTGGGAAAACCAACTTTTCTTAGAACACACAGGAAAAGTGGAGCGAAAGCAACAACACACACAAAATGCTGTACCTGCGACGTGCTGAACTCTGTCCAGTACGCACCTTCCGGGCCTGGCTTCTCCTTGGCAGCACCCCGGGAAGGGCTTCCACCTCCCCACACTGTGTCAGCACAAGCCCAGGCGAAACTTCAAATCCAGGAAAATAAAATTAGCCATGCAGATCAAAGGCGGGGAGCAGGGAGGCGAAATGCCCGTAATCTGATCGGTGATCACTTGCAGAACATCAAAGGCAGGGTTAAGTTTATGTGTAAGCAGGGACATCAAGAAAGTTCACTCTCAGCAGGTAGTCAGCCTCCCGCCTCCCAGTCCACAGTCTTTGTTCAGCGTGGATCGCGCGGTTCCCTCCCCTTTTCCAGCCGGCAGCCCGGTCGGTCGCCAGGGCTGAGCGCGGTCCTGCCGCAGCCTGCTCGCTCCCAGGCCGCGCTCTGCCAGCTGGAAGCCGCGGGGCCAGGGCGCCTGCCGGATCCCTCTCATCCGCGGGGCTCGGTCCCGTGACATCATCGCGGGACTGCGAGGACAGCTGTCACTCAGCCCGGCGGCGCGGCCGCAGCGGCCAGCTTCGCCTGACTCGGGACCACGCTGGGCGTGTGCCGGGAAGGACACTGTCGTCCAGTGGGGAGGTCGGCGGTCGCTGCGGGTGATTCCACGACGATGATCCCTGATCCGTCCATCAGGTTCCAAATGACAGCGAGGAACTGACAGAAAAGTCACTTTTTTTTTTTTTTTACCAAAGACGGTCAAATACTCAGAGTAGTTAAACATCTCTGTAAGACCATTCCAGAAAACTCCCAGGAACACCCCCAGTTGGAAAGGATGGCATTTTTTAAAAAATGGTTTTGTTTTTAATGTGACGAGCCTTTAAAGGTTTTAAGTAAACTGTCTTTCCCTTGAATTATTAGACTTGGCTGCCAATTAAACAGTGGTGTTTTAATTAATTAATGGGCAGATAAAAACAAGTCATCGGTGATTGATATCTGCCACTTTCTCATGTAAGCCTTTGGGCAGAGACTTAATCTTAGTCTAGGTCTTAGTTTGGGATTCTGAAAATTAGATATTAAAACATGTGGTTCTTAGATGGGCACAGTTTATTCACACCTGTGAGCATTTTTAAGTTTACGGAAGAAAAGAATGATGTACAGGAAGGCACCAGCCCTTTGCTAGGGACCCTTGCCTTTGAGGCTGTTTCTGCTAGCTCCATAGTTTGAACTGTTAACTCACTACAAATCACCACTTTAGTTTAATTCTTCATGATTTAAAATTAAACCTATTACATATTATTTAGAATTTTCTTACTATTATTTCTTAACAATGGCAGATTCAATAAAATAAGATTATTTTTAGTATTTCTCAAAATAGAAGATAGAAATTTCATCTTCATTACAAGCCAGGGAACAGCGCATTTCTGAATTCCGGACCAGTCTATCATGGAATGAAGGAAAATGTTGTTTTATGATAGACACTATCAACTTTTAGAAGGTTAGTTAAAAACATTTATTTTTCAAAACAGAAGACTGTAGAATGTAATCTTTTTTATGTAACTCCTTTCTCTAAATGATCTCGTCTAATTTTTCAATGTGATATTTGAAAACGTAGTTTATGATTTGTCTATCTCCAGACTTCTATAATTCTCGAAAAATTTTAATAGCACAGTCTTTGCTTGGAACAGCTAATGCATTCAGTAGAACATTTAAATAATCATGTTTATTTTTCAACATTTCTTTTATAATTCTTCATCATTCCTCCCGGATGCCAGCGCCCAGATGGTACAGCAGCGGTGTGACTGCCCACGACTCTCTGAAGGCAGCCCCAGAGGGCTCCCGTGACACCTGGCCTACGCGGAATGTCTCCTGGGCTCCTTTGAAAATACAGAAAATGTTTAAAAGGGTAAAATATTTCCAAGTGGTCATTTGCCCATTTCTTCTCTGAAGTAGCCCAGCATGAAATCCATGCTCCATCAAACTGCACCCAGGAATAAAGTTTCCTGATGCTCTGACATTTAAATCGTAACTACTGGATGCTCATAAGGTTCTTTGGATAAGCAAGTAAATCCTAATGTCTTGCTAGAGCTCAGTATGAACAGAAAGAGGTGAGGGACTGAATTCAAATTCTTGTAGGTCCCCTGGAAGCTTACAGGAGGCATTTGGAAGCAGGGACTTAAATGGCAATCAATCAAATGATCCTCCATTTATACAGATCTCACCAAGGAACATTCGTAGTTCAAAATATGTCTAGCAATGCGATAGTATCTCCAATGGAAGAGTTTATTCACCAAGTCACTGAAAATTATTTTGAGTTGATCCTTCTGTGGTCAAACACTCCCCGTGTGTGAGATGAAAAGGGACTGAGGTGGGGGTCCCATCTGTCACCAAGAGCAGAGTGTGGCTAAAGGCCCACTAGAGTGAGTGACCTCCTGACCGGGCTCTTTAGTGCTGTGCCCATCGCCCCGAGCTCCCTTCCTCGTGGACCTGCGCCAGGACCACTGTCACTGCGGAACTGCACCGTGAGAGGCTCAGGGCACAGCCCGCTCTGCCCTGCAGGGAGCTTCCACCAGTGAGATTGGGTCTGAAGCGCTGGTGATAAGAAATACGCCACTGCACTCTACGTAGTTATTTACACAATGTGTAAAGTTACGTGCTGTACTGATGATGTCTAGGGCCACAGCATATATATGTAGCTTTTAAAACTTTCCACCGGGCTGCATTTCAGCCCCCGGGTGTGTAATGGGGCGGAAGCAGCAATCTGGTCTGAGGAGTTGGAGGCTGTATTTCATTGCACTCGACACTGAGGGGACATCAGTGTTCTACCAGAGAGCGGAGGGGGCCTACTGAGATTCTTGAGGGGGTCTCATGTGCCCCCAGTTGCCGCTAAGTGCTATTTTCTTTACAACACCTGAAGCATGCTTCTTTGACAGGCAAGTCACATAAACTCCTACGACTGTGAGATATAGATTCAGGTAATTCATAATATTTTTTTCCATTAAGTTTCAAAGTTCTTGGGGTTACCTAGAACTCTTTTGTAGTATCTTCTTTTCTAAAGTTTCTGTTTAGAGGATACATCCTTAATTAGAGCAGAGAAGTACAGCTTTATACATAAGTCGGGAGAAATAATTTTGGAATTTATTTCATTTACATACTTTTGTGTATGTGTGAAGTAGCTCACTGTTAAGGAAGGAGCATGGACACTGGAGTCAGAAAGACCTCGGTTTAAATCTCTCTCGTTTCTGCAACGTGTTAACGGCTTGGAAAATTGGGGCAAGGTACTCACTGTTGTTGGGCTTCATTTTCCTAAACTGTAAGAAGGAAACAACATCTACCTTATTAATTTTGCTGAGACAACAAATGTAGAGCTTCCAGCAATCCCACTCCTGGGTATTTATTCAAAGAAAGTGAAATCACTCCATCTTTAAGAGATATCTGCACCCCCATGTTCACTGTAACATTATTCACAGCAGTCAAGGTATAGAAACAACCTAAGAGTCCACAGCTGGATGAGTGGATAAAGAGATATATATCTCCCCAAAGGAATACACACTTTGAATAATCACTAAGCCAGTGTTTATCAAAATACAAGAATCTAGATACCCTCTATACATTTTTGGGACACCCTGGATAATGGAATATTGTTCAGCCTTTAAAAAGAAGGAAATCCTGACATTAGTGACAACATGATGAACCTAGAAGACATATGGGAAGTGAAATAAGGCAGACACAGAATGACAGATAGTACATGATCTCACAAAATTACAAAATTATAAAAACCTCACTGAACCCATAGTAACAGAGAGTAGAATGGTAGTTCCCAGAGGCTGTGGGGGGGAAAGAGGAGATTAAAAAAATTAAGAAAGAAAGAATAATGGTGGTCACCAGGGGGTTGGGAGATGGGGTCACAGGGACTTGTTGTTTAATGGGTATGAATTTTTAGCCTTGCAAGATAAAAAGAGATCTGGAGATAGATGGTGTTGATGGTTGTGCAACAACATGAATGAACTAATATCACTGAACTATACACATGAAATGGTTAAGATAGTAAATTTTGTGTTATATGTATTTTACCACAATAAACTTGTTCTTTTTTTTAAAAGAGCTTTAATCAGAATAAACCCTTAACAGAAAAGCTCAGTTCCCTTTTTTTCTTCTCTGTGAGAATTAAAGAACAAGAGTGAACACCAATACTAATCGGGAGATGGGACTCAAATTTGAGCTGGGCTCATTTTCCAAAGAGGACGGGCAGGCTGTCACGAGGTTCCTGGTCTGGGAAGCCAGAGTAACTCAGATGCCCTTCAGAGTCCTGGGACTTTTCTTACATGATCTGGGACCGCTCTATACATGATCATAAAAAGAAAATGGTTCAGGCCTCTTATGGGTTGAATTGTATCCACCCAAATTCATGTGTTAAAGTCCTAACCCCTAGCACCTCGGAATGTGACCTTATTTGGAGACAGGGTCTGTACAGACGTAACTGAGTTAACACGAAGTCATGAGGGTGGGCCCTAATCCAGTATGACTGGTGATCCGATAGGAAGGAGAACTTTGGACACAGACACACACAGAGGGAAGATGATGTGAAGACACAGAGAAAATGGCCATCCACAAACCAAAGAGGGCTGGCATGGCTGCTTCCCTCCGAGCTCTCAGAAGAATCAACCTTGCCAACACCTCGATTTCAGACTTCTAGTCTCCAGACTGAGAAAATCGCGTGTTTAAGCCACCCGTTCTGTGAGACTTTGTTATGACAGCAGTAGCAAACTAATGTGGAACCCCTATCCAACATTTCAGAGGCTTACCATCTCTTCCTCAGTGTGCTCTACAGTCTGCTTCCTGAACCCCTCTCAGCTGCTGTGGATCCCCTGGGCTGGGTACACCTCCTTCATGGGCAGAAGTTCCTCCCTTCTCCCAAAGTGCCGCTTCAGGGGCACGGTTGAGGAAGCAGAGTACCACTGAAAGTTATTAAAGAAAGGGAATAAAGCACAAATTTTGGCTATTGTAAATAAAGCAGCTATGAACAATTATGTTCATTTCTCTTAGGCAAATACCTAGAATTTCTAGGTTATATGGTGTATGTTTAACTA